AGCTAGGGTAGTGAACCTTCAGCAAATCATCACCCGAAGACCAAATCAGCACCACAATGACTACCTAATTGAGACTAGGACAGCCTCCGTCTAGCACTCTCCACCGAGAAATGAGCTGAAGAAAGAAAGCTCCTCCAATTTCCTTCAACCGAACCTTCATGCTAGGAGAGCTGCGACAGAGGACGCTACAGCAGTAGCCCAAGCATTTGGGGAGAGAGCCTCACCCAAGTTGATGGAATCCATGGCAGCAACATAGAAAGCATAGTGGGGATAGTCTCCACAGGATCCCAAAGAATAGCAGCTAAAGCAGACCCAACCAAATTCAGCACCACAATGTCTACCTTATTGAGACTAGGACAGCCTCCGTCTAGCACTCTCCACCGAGAAATGAACTGAAGAAAGAAAGCTCCCAATTTCCTTCAACCGAACCTTCATGCTAGGAGAGCTGCGACAGAGGACACTACAGCAGTAGCCCAAGCATTTGGGGAGAGAGCCTCACCCAAATTGATGGAATCCATGGCAGCAATATTGAGAGCATAGTGGGGATAGTCTCCGCAGGATCCCAAAGAATGGCAGCTAAAGCAGACCCGACCAGATTCAGCACCACAATGTCTACCTCATTGAGACTAGGACAGCCTCCGTCTAGCACTCTCCACCGAGAAATGAACTGAAGAAAGAAAGCTCCTCCAATTTCCTTCAACCGAACCTTCATGCTAGGAGAGCTGCGACAGAGGACACTACAACAGTAGCCCAAGCATTTGGGGAGAGAACCTCACCCAAATTGAAGGAATCCTTGGCAGCAACAAAGAGAGCATAGTGGAGATAGTCCAGCCAGAAAGCCTCAGCAGGCCGGAAAGACCAAATCAGCACCACAATGCCAACCGGATTGATAATAGGACAGTCTTCATCCAACACTTCTCCGCTTAGGAGTGGACTAAAGAAGGAAAGCTCCCCTCGATTTCCTTCAATCGAACCAAAAAGCTAGCAGAGTTGCGATGGAGGACCCTACATTAGTAGTCCAAGCATTTGGGGAGAGAACCTCACCCAAGTTGATGGAATCCATGTCATCAACATAGAGAGCATAGAGGGGACAGATCAAGCCCCATCGGCATTCCATAAAGAACCCACAGCTGAACCAGCTTGACATACACACAATCAGCCACTACCAGCTAGGAAGCACCTGCTCCGGCAGCAAATAGAAGCAAAGAAGACCTGCAAATCACAGCAGCAAAACAAGCAAGAGCAAGAATAAATTCCAGCGGCCAGCTACATACAGCAAGGCTGTTTCGCTGAGCTAGAAACATCCTCACAACACAAACCAGGGATTGTCACACCCAATTCTGCAAAAGTATCAGCTAAACAGAACCATACAGCAAGGCCGTCTCTAGAGAGCCGGCCACAATGGACAACATCAACTAGCGTAGAAGGCTAGTACAGAAGAAGCCAAGAGGCAGCAGACTCATTCCACCAAAAGCTGAAAAGCAACACAGCAAAGCAACCAATAGAACACCCTGCAAGAGTAGGCTGGACAAACAGCTTGAAACCACCCCAGGAAGCCAAACACAGCCCAAGCAATAGCAAGATATCCTCACTTGAAACATCCAGCCAGCACAAGCATTTTAGCCAGCCAAGCAACATACCTACGAATCAACCAAAAGGCCAGTGACAGCAGAGGCTACATCCGGTCAGCAAGCCTAAAGTTCCCTGCAGTGGTGACAAACAGTGCCACCAGAAACATGCTCCATGAAGCTCCTCTATTGCAAATATGGCAACACAGCAGAAGCAAACCAACTGAGCATGCTGCATGAGAGATGACTGCTACGGACACACTCCACGAATACTGGCGTGCAAGGGATTAGATAGGGCAGCCAAGGCTGGAAAGCAGTGAAGCAAAGAAATCCCGCCAGCAGTATTACGTAAGGCTCCAACATAGGACAGGAAACCATGCAACCAATCAACAGCAGGGGCAACAACAACGTCCAAACATAAGAACAACCAGCCAAGTGATTCGAAGCTCCAGCGTACAAAAGAGAGCAGACAACGGACCCCAAGGTCCACAAAATCAAAGCTACATGAGGGGAAGGCCTCATGGTGGTCAGAGGATACATCATCAAAATATCCAAAATTCCTAGTTGCAAAGTCTGAGCATAGAGACAAATACTTTCCCATAATCAGAAGTAGGGGAAAGGCTACAGCCTGACCACCAATTAGAAAGGGTGGTCCAGCTGTCTACAAGAAAACCGGTCCCCACAACAGACAATGAAATCCTTCGTCTCTAATTCCCACCCACAACTGTACTGAGCAAAGCTGACCAGATGGCCATCAACCAGAGGACAAGCATACATCAAACAATAGGAACAGCAGGAAGTTCACACTACTGAAAGATACGAAGCTCCATTGCTCCAGAAGATGAACTTCATGGCAGATACAAACAGCAGCAGGCAGACCCAACCAGAATTAAATAAACAAAATCCAATACAGGACATGGCAAACTGAATTTAACAGCTATTCCAGTCCAGCAACCCAATCAACATCAGGGGCAACAAACAACATCCGAAAATAAGAACATTCATAGCTCCAGCGAACAAAAACGGAGCTTCCACAAAAACGGAACTACATGAGGGGAAAGCCTCATGGTGGTCAGAGGGTATAAGCCCTCTGAAATGGCAATAAATTACAGAACAAAGAAGAGGGGGAGGTGATATCCTACCCCGTCTCCTTGCATCAACATTAATATCCAAAGGTGCGATTCAAAATATAGAGCTACAGTACCAGGGAACAGACCTCTCCAAAGCACTAAGGCAAAGGATTCAGAAGTACCTGGACCATGAAACCCAGCAATGAGATCAAAAACCCCGTTGATAGCAACCGTAGTCAACACCGTAGGGCCAGAAGGAGTGACAAAGACAGCGCCAGAAATGGGTTCTTCACCTGCGAAGTATTCATCACCGAACCCATCAAAACAAGATGATGAGGGCACAATCACCGCTCCTGAGCTGTCTCTAATGGTGGGGGAGAGACTGAGAAGTGAAAAAACTGGAACTTCCGAAGCTTGGATGGAAGGGGATGGGACCGGGACTGTTCCGAAGAAAAATAGATGAAACCGGGTCCCCTCCTGAACAGACTCCTCATGGCTCCTTTTCAGTTGAATCGGAGGGAGGAGAGACTTAAATCGCTGTCTAAGGAAAGCCACATAAGTGGGCAATGAAGAAAGAGCCAGCAATCGGGAACTCTGTGGCTGCAGCGGACCATCGGGAGAAATTTCAGAATTGAAAGAGAGCATCTCTCTCTAGTTTCTCTCTCTAGCTGCAGCTACTGAGAGCTCGACTGAGAGCTCTTTCTTTTTTTTGATCAAATGTAAGAAGTATATTAAATCAAAAAGAGCAAGACAAGCTTGCAGTACAAGCTGGAAGCCAGCAAATAACAAAGTATATACATAAGCACCTATAGGAATAAATTCCTCCAAAGAAACAAAAACAGAAGCCCGCGAAATACAAGCTGAAGCAGGACAAGCCAAAGCCTAATATTACACCAAGAACCAGCCAAGCCAAGCAACCAGCCAGCCAAGCCATCACGAGAGAGAACCGAAGCCAAGCTTATCCTACAAACAAAGAGTAATGCCAAAGGACCAGCACCTAACCCCATGCAGAGACAACCCGACAAAGTATCAAGAGCCTTTCCCATAACACTCAATTACCTCCTGCACGCGAAGGGAAAAGGGCTCACACATGGAGTGCCAAAAAGCAACAAAAGCATCAAAAGCATGACCAAAAGAGGCTGCAGCCATAAAGATTGAATAGCCAAGCCTCCAAAGGGGAACCCCCCACGTGGAAAGGAACCGCTAGCTTTCACCGAAGAAGGGGAAAGAAACCATCCAATGAGCATCTTGCAAAGTCATGCAGAGACAATGAAGAGACGAGAAGAGGGACTGCACCGAAGAACCAAATTGCAGCCCCGGCCCCACCAGCTTCCAACCTCACGCAAGAACCATGC